TAATGTCTTGGTAGAATGTCTACGGTGCATACATAATGTTCTCTCTGTAATCTTTCTGACGTGTATAATTACTAATTTCTAAATAAGCAGGTCTTACATACCGTTAGTGACATACGTAGATTAAACCTGTATTAGGCTTACGTTCGCGATCCCTCGCAGCTATGTGAGACGCGTTACGGATATGGGATGAGACCAGGAACTAATCCGATATCATATTTATATGCAAATCCGCGAATTTTTACTTCCCTCGAGGTTTAATTATTTATAGGAATGCGCGTAATTTGTTATTCGCGTTGCACATTGATTAAAAGCTGCTGCATTCTATTAAGAAATAATTGGATTAATAATTTACGCTAAATTTAGTTCACATGTGTTCCAAACAGTCTACCTAAATTTTTGTGTTAATATAATTTAACGCAAGATGAATATGTTGGGAAGTAGTACAAATATGTAAAAAATTAACATAAAAAAATGTAATAATGTCATAATTTGTAAGCAAATTATGGTAGCATATTTCTTCGATAAAATTAACATTTATATTATGTTAAATTAATACGTTTTAATAAGATTAACATTTATAATTTGTTAAATTAACATTTTATTTTTTATAATTTACATTTTGAAATATATGAATTTTATATTATTCATCCACTCATAAATTATGTTATTTTAATTCTAAGAAATTGAATATCAATTTAACACAAAATATTCGAATAATAATCATATTATGTTAAAGTAACACTTAGATATGTAAAAAATTCACCATTAAAGTTTTAACAACGACCGGTTGTAACGAGAATAAATATTGAATGTTTTTTACTGTTTAGCAAAAACACGGAGATTTCCTGAACAGGATGTTTCAATGTTGTATATATCGGTGCAGCTTCATGCAGTTGAAATGCCAAGATAATAATCTGATAATTCACGATATAGTAAAGATATAAATTCATAGGTCGAGTTATGTTTGCAAGTTATGCAAAGATTACATTTCCAACCATTGATTATTGGCGTGCGTGTCATGCAACGCGGATACTTTCTAACGGGTGACCTTCAGGAACGGTATACTCGGTACGTTCCTCACGTAAATAGCGAAATGTTTCTCATATTTTAGGTCTTAGCTGTGACAGCAGCCAGACTCAGCCGAAAAACGTACGATAAGAGATTCGCGAGTAGGTTTAAATTAGCGAGTCTAGACGCCTCGGAAATACCACGTGATGGCAAGCGTCATACTGTATCCGCTGTCTTCGGATGTTCAGATGTTCACACCTTGGCACGTCCGCCCACTGTCTCCAAACATTCGTCTGGACCTATGATAGTTTTCGAAAATAAAGTTTGATCTGCAAAGTGAACGATCTCTTGCTATACATGAGATAAAGCTGCTTAATCTGTCGGCACTCGTGCTGTCACAAAAAATACAACACATGCTGTTATTCTTGATTGACTTCTTACTATGACGTTTTTGTTCATTTCTTTATAAATTTAAACAATTTATAAATAAGTTGTAAGTTCAAACATATAATAAGCAAATTTCTTTTCTGATTATTTTGGTTTATTATTATCTTTAACTGACAATGCGTTAACTAAAAATGTGAAGAAATTTGTATTTATTTTACGCAGAAATTATCTTTATCTTTTAATCGCTAATTAATAATATTGAAAAGTACGCAAATTATGATGTAATAAAATTTTATTTCTGTTTCAGGTATGTACTTCAAAATTAGAAAAATCTCTAGTTGATCATCGATCCTCAGCGCTGTAAGTTACATAAAATATTTAAATATATTATTTCGTAAAATAATAGCTGTGTCTTCATCTTGAGTATTTCGAATTATGATGGACACACTATATTTACGTTATCCTTTCACGTTTCTCCATTGCACTACTGTTTCATATTCGCCACACCCACGATTGTCACTTTCACATATGTGATCTCCGGATTTATGTGACTTCATGCGTATGCATTTAAGAAAACATGTGAAACTAACTGTCACCTGATAAACGTTAACTTGTCATTCATCATAGTTTATAACTGCACACATGATTCAATGACTATTTACACCGTGCATGCGCTTAGTTCGCGATCTACGATAGGGGTGTCTTTGTTTAACCTACAGGATAAACAAGGCTAAACATCTATTGCATAGGTCGCGGCCTAAATGCATGATGTAAACATAACCAATCGTCGTAATGCTGAATACAGCAGATAAAAGAATTAGAATTGGAAATTTAAAAATTAAACCAGCTATATACAACGATAATAAGCTGTACAACAGTTATAATCATATATCGATTTATATAGAAACGAGAAGTCGCTTCTAATTTTTAAATCGATGTAGAATTTAAAAAGCAATAGCAAACTACAAAAAACGAAATTTTAAAGCAAAACATGTTTATAGACGTGTTTAGTATCATGATAGACTTTGGCATTATAATTTGGGGATTTTACCGTCTATAGCATAATGGTCCCCATTGTATCTAATGGAAAATCCGCCACTGATTTATGTATTAGCGCATCAGTAGCTAGCTACAGCTCCCTACGGCTACACCGACATTCCACCGAAGATAGATGATCGTACAGTTATAGTGTCTCAGGTAGCCAAGCGAAGCTATCAATACACAGGTAGAAAATCCAGGACTAGAATACAATAGGATACAGAGAAAGCGTCATATTAGAAGGATTATGGGAAATTAGAAGATGAGGTCAGGGTTATAATACCAAATATTTAAAATAATACCTACGTATATATATAGATAGATATATTTATGTTTTTCTTTATCATGTTATATAGTTTAGAAAAAAATCTGCAATTATCCGCGAGCACACACTACAGTCTTTGTCATAAATATGTATAAAGCATTGTCACTTGCAAAAGGCGATAATAAAAGTCAAAGCCTTCAAAAGAAAATTAACAAATATTGAAATAAATATTATTGAAATAAATATTATTTTTCAATAAACGTTTGTAATTTATTTTGCGTTAAATATACATAGAATGCTTAACGTCAATTTTTGGAAGTGTTTTATACCAAAGTTGTAGAATTTTATATCTTCAGTATTTATGATGGTTATACTCTTAGTGAAAAAAATTCTCATTATATCTCATAACATTTTTAAAAGTATCTTGTCATACTTTAAATTTCTTCAGATTTATGAAAAAATACTTTAAATTTCTTCAGATTTTACATGTTTTCTTTAAAAAAGAAATTACAGAATAAGAGAAATCTTAAAATATTTCAGAGTTTACATATATAAAAAACTCTAGAAAAGATGTAATTTACAGAATTGTTAGCGGTCAGGGAAATCAGGAAAAACTGGGAAAAATCAGAGAAGTTAAAAAATGGTCAGAGAAAACTGGAAAAACCGGAAAATCAAGAAATCAAGGAATTTATCAATCTAAGATCAAAAATTAAATTCTAATAACAATTCTAAGTTTAAACTTTATTTCTTTAAAAATGATTAAATAGAATTTTATAAATTTTTTAAAGAAGCATTGTAAATATTTTTTATGATTTTTTAATTTTGCAGTGAGCAACTTACGAAAAATTATTAGCACATATTGTTAAAAAGAAACAAAATTATAAAATTTAGAATATATACAATAACATCTCGTAAATCATTTAAATAATTAAAATTAATTAGAATAATTGAAACGTACAGTGTTTTAGTGAGATGATTAAATCTTAATAAGCAATATGCAAAACAAAGATAAAATAAACTATTTTACGTAATTTATTTGTTTTTTAACTCATTCCATTTATATTAGTATATACATATATATCTGAACAAAGTGAGTTATAATATATTTAAAGATTATAAATATTACGAAAAGTTTTATATTATGTTTATGGTCGATTTTTAACAAAAGAAATATTTTTAATTAATTTGTAATTATAATCGTTGCTCTAATTCGTGTCTGTAGGTATATAAAAAAAATGTTTTATAAAAAAATTTCATGATATTTTATACTCTCTTAATAATATTTATTTCGAAAATGTTGAAAATGAAAAAATCCGTTACCTATTTTTGAATTATTTGACTCTTAGACCGGTATTCATAGTCGATTCTTATGTTCAGGACCGTCTTAAATAATCTTAAGATGATCATAAACTGACATAAACCAATCAGAGAGTCATATTAGCATTTCAAGACATTTCCTAAGATGATCTCGAAATAAGAACCGACTATGAATACCTGTCCTAAATCTTGAGATAAATAGATAAAAAGAATATGGATCCGATATCTTTTGATGTCCTACATCAAAAGCCCATTAAAATCAGTGATACACGGAGAAAATTTTATATTAAGTTTTAATACAATTTTAAATTACACTTTATTATATCTTGTATTTTCGATGGACTTTCACAATATGATTCCGACTTAACTTTTACTATGGTAATACTAATTTTTATCACATAAATAAAGTAATTATTTTGTTAAGCCATATTCTAACATGAAAACAGTTAATTTTTACTATGGTACGCAAACAAAATTTGCTAGGTATATTTGATTTTGTAATAAAAAATTTTTACTGAGAAAAAGTGTAAAAATTACGTTATATTATTGTTTTTAAAAAAATAACTATATAGCATAGTTTAAACTCATAATTTACATGAAGAGCGCAGCTACTACCACATTATAGTAATTTTAAATATAAAATTTTCTCCGTGTAGATTATAATTTCAACGGTATTATCTATAGAATATTAAAAAATTCACGTATACCTACATATAAAAATTTTAGAAAAAATATAACAAATGTTCTCAAAATTCTTTTCTGAAAAGTGTTCCTAATTGCTATAAAAAAAAATCTCCTTAAAAAGAGAAATTTTCTTAAAAAGTATATACTCATACAGGAATTCTAGAAAATTCTGAAATTAAAAAATTCTGAAAAACCGAGTGAAGAAATCCGAGAGAAATTTTCATTAGAGACAGCTTAAAATACGACAAGGACAATTCCGGTCCGAGTTTTTCACATAGTCGCGATCGTTAGCGTCCCGGGTGTGATACGAGACGTAACGCACGACAAGCCTGGACAAGCCGGCGTGCGAGCGGTGCGAGCAACACGTTAATTGGGCGAGAGTTACGGCAAACGTACTATAAACCTTCTCTCTACCCCTCATTGCGTCTCATCGTCAACCCAGATCTTCGGCTGGACTCGGCTCGGCGCGGCAGAGCCGGCTGCTGCCGTCGCTGTCTCGTGCTCGCTGGCGGTCGTTCCGGACACGAGAAGGCGCTCCGGTCGCATGGCCGCCCTCAGTACTCGCGAGCCTCGCTCGGTGTGTGTTTCGTGGTGTGTTTGTCGTCGCTGTGACTGTCGTTCCCAGTTCTCCCCGGCCGCCTGTCCCGCATGTCGGTCGTTCTCAGCGACGCTCGCAATTAATTCCGTTCGCGAAATCCGTCCCGCCTGAATGCGACGGCTGTCTCGTCGCGATCCCTCCGTCGTCGCGGACAATAATCTCTCGTTTTCTCTCTCTCTCACTTCTCTTTCTCTTTCACTCTCGCGCGGACAGGAGGAGGAAGAGGCGGCGGCGGCGGCGTCGTCCGTTGAGTTCGTGTCGCTCGGGCGGCGCGTATCCGTGTGTCAGTGTGCGTGAACAGTGCGTAGTGTATACAGCAGCAGCATCATCGGTGCCGTCGACGACGAGGAAGATCGCTGGGATCACTCTCCGGTTACGGACGTTTCCTTCCCATCCGCGTGGACTCCTCGCGGCGGCGGCGGCGCGGAATTGTTCACATTCGGAGTTCGGAGTACTACGCGCGCCGCTCCCCCGTGTGTTTACGATCGTTGCGTCCTCTCTATCGCTGTCTCGCTCTCCTCTCACCTGCGCTCCTCGCTCGCCTGGCGTGCGGACAGGTGTCGCGTGGAAGCCAAACGTAGGAGAGAGCCGACGCCTGGTTTCTCTGGGTTCTCTGTGATATTAAACGTCGGGTGGCCTCTCGCCGGTGGCCACGACGCTCTTCCTCGAAATCCTGCCGAGATAAAACGAGCCCTCCACTGCCCGTGTCGTCGTCGTCGTCTCGTCGTCGACGACTGCCAAAGAGTACGTATTTTCCACGGTAAACGAGATCATATCGCGCAGCAGTTCCGCGTCCCTCCTCGTCGCCGTGTCCATTCTTCCGTTACGCTCGTCCGTTGTGTCCGCCGCGTGTATATATGCAGACGTACGTACGTGTGTTGTGTATATGTATGTGTGTGTGTGTGTGTGTGAGAGCACGAGGCGAGGAAAATTGTTTACGCCTACGACGGTTACAACACGCCCTCGTATCGCGGATGACGGTTGTCCTTGGAGGTTAGTCAGTCGGTCGCGCGAGCAGTGAATGGACGCTTCTTTACGCGAGACGCTCTCCGAACTCGGCGACTCCGCGATGTGTTTTCTCGCGTTCGAAATGGGGAAATTGTTCCGCGAATAAAAAAAAGTCGCAATTGTAACGGTCGTGCCTTAAATGCGCACGAGCGTCCAGCGAGTGTTGCTGTCGGTGGAAATTTCCGATCGCGCTCGTTAGAATCGTTCTGCGATTCTCTGACGGAGTGCAGCTAATGATCTGTTGAATGTCGTAGGAAAAGGCGGACAGATCTCGCGAAGGAGAGAAAATTTGTTCTTTTTCGTATCGAATTGACTTAATTCTGTGCGAGCGATTTTCCAATCTTTCGACGCCGGGGCGTGGTTAATTAGTTAAACTTGATAACCAAAATGTTTGTTAGTTTCAAGTGTGTTAATAGAATTGTGAAGGAGGATGTAACTTTTTTCACGATCGTTCGTTTTATTTCTATATTTTCCAACATTCTTTTTCATGGAAATCGAAATTATCATAATAATGACGCTCGAGGAAAAATTGGGATGTTGAAATAAAATTACAATCCTCATTCACATCTTTACTAATTGTAGGAGAAAAATGTACTAAATTTTAATAAATAGTTTTAATTGTATTAATATAACATTGATTTACAGAAAATAAATATTTGCTAAATGAAAAAATATAATAGTTAAATTCAATTAATGTTTTTTGGGGACCAAATAAATATATATTTAATAAGTATTCAACTGGTATTATTTAATCAAATATTTATTAAAATTTAGTATATTCTTCTCTCAGTGTATGAAATCGCTGTCAGTTATACTTCAGTCATTTACAAAAACTAATTTAGAATTGTGGATCCAACTATGAATTAATTTTTAAATTGACGTCTAACTGACAGCGATTTCGCAACTACGTGTATAGGATTTTATTCTTTATTTCAACATTTCTTTGAGTGTAGCGTCATTATTATAATAATTTTCAGTTTTCATAAAGAAAGATAAAAAACATAAGATCTAAAAATAATGCGATCCCCGAATGAAACGGTCGCAAAGAATTGGAAGTTGTATCCTCCTTTAGATGAACATCTTGTTTGATTCTTTTTTTTACTCCCTTTGAATATTAGGTTGCTGAGTCTAAAGTTATGCTTTTACACGTAACAATATGACATATTTTACGTAAACAGATTTTTATATTTATAAAACGACATGTATATAAACTCGGGCTTTATTTCAATGCAGTTTATTTAAAAATAATACAACGGAACGGAGCTAATAATCTGTTGAATATCGTAGAAAAAGTAACGACATACTGAGAGAAAAATGTACTAAATTTTAATAAATATTTGTTTGAATAGTTCTAGTAGAATATTTTTACTAAATATTAATATATGTTTATTTGATACGAGAACCATTAATTTAATTATTGTTTTTTTTTATTTAGTAAATATGTCTTTTGTAAATAAATATTATATTAGTACTATTTTAACATTTAATTTATTATTTATTGAATCAATTATTTATTACATTTTAATAGATTTTTGTTTCTCTTACTGAATGTACATACAAATTTGCGCTTTATTTTAATATAATCTAATTAAAAATAACAGGAGCACGTATTTATTTACATTAACGTTAAACAATAAGTGGCTAAAAGATGAATCGATTTCTATTTTTACACATTTTGCGCCGAATAAAATTATTTTTCCCGTTTTATCGCGTTTTCATTAAAACGTCCAGCCGGCTGGTCCTTCGAAATAATTTTATCGTTCATAAATCTGTCCGTAAATCAAGCCGAAGTAATTAAATATCGATGACCGGCATTTCGTATCATGCCGGAAAGCAGGCGTTTCGATATCCTCCGCAAAGTACGGAACAGTACGATCCAATCTATTGCCGGATGCGCCGCGATCCTCGGAAAATTCTTTTCATTTCCGTCGAGCTGCGCATAGAAAATTTTCCCGGCCTTGATCCGCATCTCATAAAATTCTCGGGCGAGATAAGGACTCGGTCGATGGAGAATTAGGGAAGAAAGAATAGAACGAGGGAAACAAATTCTCTTTGCGGTTCGTTATGAAACGTATCGATTTTCTGATTTATTAGTTTGTTAATTTTTCCATTTACTTAAGTCGCTTTTAAAGCAATATGAATTGTCACAGGCTCTCACACACGCCGATTAACCTTTCATTACTTGCTTACTTGGGTATCCAGAATACTCCAGCGTTATAAAATTGTTTTACAATTAAAAAAAAATTTTATACTTATCTGTATCTAAAGGATAGAATATTATCTGCATGGAAATGACAGGTTTGTTTATTTACAAAAATGGATACAGATTCGAAAATAATTTTGCCCATCAAAATAATTATATAAGATACTTAAACAGGTTACTAGAACGTCAAAATTTTTTGCAATATTATCATCAAGAGTTTAAGCTATATAATTATTTTGGTCCGGCCGTTAACATTATTTTTAGATCTCCACTTAGCTAAATTTTTAAATACATGAGCAAAATTATTCTTTCCGTGTGAAGAATAGAATAGGGTAAGTGCATGGAGAGAATTTTCTTTTAAAATTTACCCTGAAAATATGGTGATTGTGGTACAATACAATATTTTAAAGATTTTTACCATGCACTTCAGTAAAATTGATCAAACTTATTTTATACTTTATTGTAGTTTTATTAATGAATGAGAGAGATTTATATTAAAATTTTATATTAAAATTTTTCGAAATACAATATTGTCCCACGATTGTCATATTTTCAGGGTAAATTCTAAGAAAAAATTCTCTCCGTGTGGGGGGAATATGCTACACTTAAGCGAAATTAGATTTTTTAGTAATTATTTGTTCAATTTAAAATAACTTTACATACTGATCTTTTTCTTCCATCCTTTATCTATTATTTGTGTATAATTGGAATCGAATATATTCATTTTTTGTTATTAAAAGTAAAGAAATACGAAAGTGCTGAAAAATGGGAAATATGCCACCATGAGGGTAATATGTCACTTACAAAAAAATACTAAGTATAACATTTATTTTGTTTTTTTTTGCAAGAACACCTCATAAAAACAATTTTGTTGCGAGGGAATCCTTGATACTTATGCAACACGTTAAGCATCCAATTTTAAATAATTTTGTGTCACTAACGCAAGCGCTGCTTATCGGTATCATTGTTAAACACAACGAGTGGCATATTCTTCCAACTGGGATATTACCCGCAGTTACCCTATATTATTAGATACAGAATAGTATAAATTTTTATTTAATTATAAATTGTCAAAGAGAATAATAAAAATTAAGATGTAATTAATTAGAAGGTCAAAAAACCCAACGGGAGTAATGTAGAGTTAATAATTATTGTATTTTCGTCAATTATTTTAACAATGTCAAAATTTAATCTACTTAAAAAGTTGATCTTTGAACGTTATAATCTGCATGTTTTTAAAAAAGATCTAACTCGTCACTTGTTGTATAATCATCGGTTGCCCGCGAGCGGACACAATGCGTGCTATTCATGACGGGCGGAGCAGTGGCTTAACTTTTCCTCATTCGTTAATGCGCAGGGACGCGACTCTCCTTCAGTCATCAACATCGTCAGTCACTCTCGCGGTTCTCCGTGCGAGTTATTTTCCATGGTATATACGTGCCAATCGTGTGTGGAATTCCTTTGTAAATAGCCAGCGATTCTCCATGAAGCCAGTTTCGATTTAAACGACTTTTCGTACGTCCGTCTACTCTGAATTCTGTGCCATAATCTCGATAAGAATAAAGTCGCTTTTCGCACCAAGAAAAGGAAGCTCTCTGTCTGGAAGAAGACAGTGCAAGATAATTGCACTGGCTCGACGTCTGTAATCAAGGCTGGTCGAGCTGGTGATAACGAGTGCGTCATTCGTTCGATATATAATAATAACAACAACCACGCGGTTAAACGAAGCTCGAGAGATCACGCTCCAACTCAACGCACAAGTTTCCAAGTGGAGGCTGAAAGATCTCTCGGAATAAATAGTGTCTCTTTGTCGCTCCGGGACGTTCAGATGAGCGCACGCCCGGGAATAATCGATAATTCTCGATAGTTGATCGAGAACGACGAGCGGGTGATCCCGAGGTATCTCGAGGATCATTATCGTCGTCACGGGATCGCGTCAGGAGAAGAGCTTGAGCACGTGGGAGCCGCGCGAATCTCATCGTCGAAGCCGTGGAGCCGCGAACGAGAAGTGGTGAACGACGACGACGCGAGCCGCCGATCCCACGAGCAGGTGCACACCGGGATGCGCGCCGCTTTGACAGGGACCACCCGGTAGCTCCGTTGCCGGCATTCGTAGCGATCCTCAGCCCGTGGCGCCGAAAGAGACGGGGTCGCTGCAAGGATCGGACCCCAAGCGCGATGTCCATACGCGTGAGCGGCGTCTACCTGGTGCCCACCAGCCCGGGCAACGACAACGGCGGCAATGACAAGACCGGCATGGACGGCAGTTTGCATCATCAACAGCAGCATCATCATCATCATCATCACCATCACTCGACGACGAAAACGGTGACGATCGTCACGGCGCCGCAGCGTAGTAATAGTTTGGATTACCTCAACTTCGAGGAGAAGCGACAAATCATCGCGTCGTCTTTGTCTCTGAGTGACTTTTTGGCACATGGACCGGCGGTTTGCCAAGGAGGTGGCGGCGAACACGGTGATCGGTGAGTCTTACAATTAGTGAACGTATCATTCGACTTTTGAGGGCGTTCGCGCAATGAAATGTCATGTAATCATTCGTGCTGTGCGTGCGACTATATTAATCTTTAAAATTTAAATAGATAGGTAATTTACAGGAGAGATGATAAAAAAATTTGGTCAAACATAAAGAGTTTTGTCTCTATTAAATTAATAACCATTATTTAACGATTCAAAAGTTGATTTATAGTATTTGCTGTGATTTTTTTTAATCCTTTATTTTAATGACAAATAAAGCTATACTACTTGGGGGTAATGATTTGATAAACATTCAAATCTTTGTGATCAAATCTTTTATCACGTAAAAATACGCTAAACGATATAATGCAAGTTTAACTACATATAATATATAATATACTTGTAAAAAAGAATATAATTATAAAATTTTTTTTAGATGAAACGTCCCAAAAAATCTTTAGTTTTGTAATTACATGTTTGTAGTGTATATCTTATAGTTAAATTTACATTATATTTTTTTGTGACGGAGGAGTGTAAAAATAATGAACTTCTGGACATTTGGGCGCTTTTTATTTTCCTAAAACAAGGTTGTAAAGAAAACTACATCTGAGTGCTGCAACCTCATCTATCTACTTAGAGATTAATAATGCAGAAGGGTGAACTACGGAGTAATTGATGTGATAATTTTCTTTGTAGATAATTAGGTACTCGCTCTTGTCAGTGACGCTTCGAGAAGAAATTAATAATCTTATAGGGAATTATTACTAGGATATAATTTCTAGCAACTATCATTAGCAATTAATGATGATTTCCATGTATAAAATTAAATAATAGCGTTATGTAAAGAGATGTTAGTGTATAAATTATATATTGAAGAGCATTCCTGTCATTGGTTGCTTCGTACATGTGTTAGTTGGATGGATTAAACACGAACAATCAGATAAGGTATTTTTCTCCGGTTTGTGATATTCCATTATATTATGCATTTATTACATTTGCATTTATCTAGGGCGGTGTTAAATCTGCCACGTTTTGTTTCTGTCCTACAATAATGATATTGGAAATAATTATCGTGTTAAGGTTTTGCACTGCGCATCGAATTTATATTTTAACGAACGCAAACTTAGAATATTTAAATATTATTGCGTTTTAAATGTGTATATTCTAATAATAGATTATTCTAAAATAATGCTCATATTTTACTGCGTTTTATTACAATTAAAGCATATATAAATATCTATAATTTAACATAATAACGGTAAACGTAATTCAACGTATTTTTCTTTCTGAAAAATTAAAAAGTTTCTGATAAAATTTTTGAAAGGGGGGGGGGGTTTAATCTCTTCCCGATACCTTATACATCATATTTAGACTCATTGTCAGTTTTATCAATGGGAGCGTAAACATGAAGTTCGCAAAAACCACGCAGAGAGCGTTTTCAATGAACTTCAAAGCGAACTTTATCGCTCCATGCCACTCGATCGATTCTTACGCAAGTCTGCACTTTATCGCTTCGATCCATAACACCAATTGTGTTCAAATAAACTAACGAGTATTATGGCATAAATAGATTCTCCTATACTGAGAGAATAGTTGGTTGGTTGATATTTGTTATTATAATTATATGATAATTAGAAACTCCATTTTTATAATTATATTACTACAATTCTAGCAATGAATATATATAATTATATTTATAGTTTTATATTAAAAAATATATATGTAATTGGTACCGAAAACGACTACAAATTGTAATCATACTTTGTATCTTTTATATACATATAGGGGAAGACCGGACAGCGCGGACGTGTTAAGGTTGAAAAGAAAAAATGACATAATTAAAATTGAGATCAGAAACCATTTTTATTCTCATAAATCTCTTAAAGGACTTAATCTTGGAATAAAATAAACAAAATTTAAAAACTTGAACATTAATATGTCGTTTTAGTTAAAACATAAAAAAAGAAACCATCCGTTTTACCCTCTTGGGCAAAGCGAATGGATCACTCGAGCAATGCAAATGAAATTTAAAAAATTAGAATCAGGCTTGGCAATCGCGTCACAAAAGTAGCTACAAATCCTCTATATGTAGTGCAGTCTTCATGGGTCAATTTTGTGCAATGACTGCATTGGATCAGTCATAAACAAATCATACTGCATTGTGACAAAAAATAAACAAAAATGAGATGTAAACAAACACGTGCTTTTCGTACACTCGAAAGATCGTCTGTCCCTCCGTATTCCCAATATTTTCATTGTAATCATATACCGAGTAAAGAGAATGGATCATCCGCTTTGTCCCCACTCGCTTTGCCCAAAGGACCTACCTGACGAACTACCTGAAAAATTTTAACCTCGAATATTTAAAGATACAGAATTCTTATAAAAAATCATGCACACTGGTTAAGGAACAATTACAGATAATAATTAAGCTATACGTACCTAAGGAAAAATCGCAAGAAAACACTCAATTTTCTATATGTCTCTATTGAACACAAACGAATCATATGTCGTTTCGTACTTTCATAGCGTCGCTGGTCATTCTCCTTCAACTACTAGAGACTCATAGCGCAATCTCAGATAAGCGAAAATAAAAGGTACACGCAGTAAAAAAAAAAATATTAATTTTAACATTTTTTACATGTCCCAGGAGATCCACTTTAAATTTTAAGTTAAAGTAACTCATTCGTCTTGTGTTATTTATTAATGAACTAGTAATGTTAAATAATTGACACAATACTTTACATTTATATTTATTATTTTGACTTTAAGGGTGATTTAAAACTAACATATAAAATAAGTAGAGTACATAGAAGAGTAGTTGCAGTAACTCGTAAGAAAATGTTAATAAAACATTTTTGTTCGTATAATGTGAATGAAAAAATTCTTAGATGTTAAATTGACTTTGAGGTATATAGATTAATTGAAACAATTGTATTAAAAACACTCAAAATAATATTCCATTTTTAATTGACATACGCAATTATTAAGTTAGAAAGATGACATGAGTCTAACACATCAAAATGTTACAAAAATAATAACATATCAGTTGTATGTTTATTTTACATTGAAGTAATAATCAAAATGTGGTAACACAAGAAAAATTCTGCATATGGACGCACGATTTTTTTACTGTGTATTTGCTTTACTCAGGGCGCGGACCATTTTGCCCGGGTTTCCCCTATATGTATTTTTTTGTATATAGAACTATAAATATAATTATATTATCACTAACGTTACAGCAGTAATTACTACAAAAATGGAATTCTCTCTCTTACAAACAAAAAAATAAATTCTTGTTTTAGTTATATAATAATGAATTTTTCTAAAATTTGTAACAAGATATTTCAGAATTATTATCAAGAAGATATTTTTTGTTAAAGATAATTTTTATTTGTAAAAAAGAAAGTAAATGGAGTAATTACTTTTCTTAGCAGTAGAATGATATTTTTATGTATACATATAGGTGATAAATTTCGATAGGGAAGTTTCGATAAAGGGTCGTCGGCATTCATGGCGAGAGGGTTAACAAGTGATGACGAGGCGCATCCGCCGCCACCGCGTTTCGATTACCTAGACGATAATTGCCGGCGATTCGTTTCCACTGTCGACAGTTGCGTGATTTACGAGTGACGCGAGAGGCTGAGAATCGGTATAGGCGCCGACGCCATCATCGGTCGTGTGCGATCCCGGCTTCGTCTTCTGGCCGGCGCGGCCAGAATGTTGAAGCAGCAATGAATTGAGGTAATCGACACGGGCGAAGGGTAAAGCACATCGAGAGAAAGGAGTGTAAGCGGGGGCGGTAGTCCAGCAAGGACGACGAAGGGAACAGACGGAGGTAGAAACGTGCGGCGCGTTGTACGCAAGGTGGAAAGCTACCTTGCCGTCTCACTTCAATTCCGAGTCAAGGAACTCCGGTAGCGAGAGGCACCGCCTTGTAAACAAACCTCGCGTGCGTAGCGTGCGTGGCATGCGTGCG